ATACTAGGGGATTTCACTTGGAAACGAAAATGTTCCATACTAATGGATTCGGGTCCATAACCATGGGTTCCAATGTACGAGATCTTGTAGCACTTACCGATGAGGCCCTATCCATTAGTATTACACAGAAGAAATCAATTATAGACACTAATACAATTAAATCCGCTCTTTATAGACAAACTTGGGATTTGCGATCCCAGGTAAGATCGGTTCAGGATCATGGGATCCTTTTCTATCAGATAGGAAGGGCTGTAGCACAAAATGTACTTCTAAGTAATTGCCCCATAGATCCTTTATCTATCTATATGAAGAAGAAATCGTGTAACGAGAGGGATTCTTATTTGTACAAATGGTACTTCGAACTTGGAACGAGCATGAAGAAATTAACGATCCTTCTTTATCTTTTGAATTGTTCTGCCGGATCGGTCGCTCAAGATCTTTGGTCTCTACCCGGACCCGATGAAAAAAATGGGATCACTTCTTATGGACTCGTTGAGAATGATTCGGATCTAGTTCATGGCCTATTAGAAGTAGAAGGCGCTCTGGTGGGATCTTCACGGACAGAAAAAGATTGCAGTCAGTTTGATAATGATCGAGTGACATTGCTTCTTCGGCCCGAACCGAGGAATACCTTAGATATGATGCAGAGCGGATCTTGTTCTATCCTTGATCAGAGATTTCTCTATGAAAATACGAATCAGAGTTTGAAGAGGGGGAGGAACAAGGGGCCCTTGACCCGCAACAGATAGAGGAGGATTTATTCAATCACATAGTTTGGGCTCCTAGAATATGGCGCCCTTGGGCCTTTCTATTTGATTGTATCGAAAGGCCCAATGAATTGGGATTTCCCTATTGGTCCGGGCTATTTTGGGACAAGCGGGTCATTTATGATGAAGAGGATGAGCTTCAAGAGAATGATTCGGAGTTCTTGCAGAATGGAACCGTGCAGTACCAGACACGAGATAGATCTTCCAAAGAACAAGGCCTTTTCAAATAAGTCAATTAATTTGGGACCCTGCAGATCCACTCTTTTTCTTATTCAAAGATCAGCCCCCTGGCTCTGTGTTTTCGCGTCGAGAATTATTTGCAGATGAAGAGCTGTCAAAGGGGCTTCTTACTTTCCAAACGGACCCTCCTACATCTATATATAAACGCTGGTTTATCAAGAATACGCAAGAAAAGCACTTTGAATTGTTGATTAATCGTCAGAGATGGCTTAGAACGAATAGTTCATTATCTAATGGATCTTTCCGTTCGAATACTCTATCCGAGAGTTATCAGTATTTATCAATTCTGTTCCTATCTAACGGAGCGCTATTGGATCAAACGACAAAGACATTGTTGAGAAAAAGATGGCTTTTCCCGGATGAAATGAAAATTATTGGATTCATGTAACGGGAGAATCCCATCCCTTAGCCGGAAAGCTATGTGGCCACGAAAGGTGGATTAAGTGGAACAGAATTGACTGGGCGGTAGAGTCGTGGAAACGTTTCTTTCTTCCATATTTTGGACCTTAGCTCCATGGAACAATATGTTACTGCTGAAACACGGAAGAATTGAAATCGTAGATCAAAACACTATGTATGGATGGTATGAACTACCTAAACAAGAATTCTTGAACAGCGAACAACCAGTTCAGATATTCACAACCAAGAAGTACTAGATTCTCTTCTCTTTCGGATAGGCCCTGAAAGGAGAAGGAAGGCTGGAATGCCAACAGGCGTCTATTATTGAATTCACCCGACCCGATAGTACCTATTTGGGAAACGTCCAGTGCGAAATTCACTGAATGGGTAAGTCGCCAATCCCTGGACTATGTAATGTACTTTATCTTTTGGGTTACGGGCGGGCATTTTACTGAGGTTTCGAATCTATGATTCCTGTTGAAGCATATACTCGGGGGGTGGGTGCAGGGCGGACAGTTTTAAAGCAGACTCCCCATTCATTAGTCATTAGATAGAGAAGATCACCAAGATTTCGTGATCCGCTGCCGAACTTATTCCAATTCAATATTATGCCTTGAAGAGGACTCGAACCTCCACGCTCTTTAGCACGAGATTTTGAGTCTCGCGTGTCTACCATTTCACCACCAAGGCATGAATCGTATTCCATGAATATGATATCTATCTAGTGTGATGTATGGAATATATGACAAAGGTAGAGTACTTTTATTGATCGGTCATATCATTATCATATAGGCTCGAGTTGGACATCCAATTGCTTCGATTTGAATTATCCGGAGAATGCCTTAGCGATATCAAAAAGATGGACAATCAAACCTATTTCTCGATTCAATAGAAGCTCAAAGGGGAATTTGGTATATAGAAGTCGAATTTGGTATTTGGATATTGTTTATATCAACAAGTTGAGCAATTATCAATCATTCATTCTAAAGACTTCTAAATAGAAATTTTAGAAGATTGGTTTGAAGAAATCCGACCTTCTACTTGTTTTACGAAGAAATCGGATTTTGAGAATCCGAACTTAGCTTACACGGATTCTCAAAATCCGATTTAAACTTACCCGGATTTCTGAAATCCGGCCTTACAAAAAAATCGGATTTTAAAAATCCGACTTAGGTCAAAATTTTATTTAAAAAAAAAAACTAAGTGTTTTTCTGAAAATATTTTATTTTAATATAATAGGGTCGGATTTCAGAAATCCGATCTTCTCTTAATCTTGATTAATTTCATTAATTTTTCGTATTAAGTGTAGGTCGGATTTGGAGAATCCGATTTAGCTGGAAAATCGGATTTTAGGAATCCGATATCGTTATTTTTCTCTTCCCCAAAATTCGACCTATATTTATCTCTACTCCTTTTTTTAACCATTTTTTAACTCAAAAACTCCCATTGATATATTTCTTAGCTTTTTTTTTTCTTATTATTTTCACTTAATGTACTGACTAGTGTATGATTAACATGATAGGGAGTCCATGAAAAGTCCGAAATCTATAATTTAAGGATAAAGTAAAGACTACATTCTATCAAGAAAATTCAACGCAACGTTGTAATCGGTTCATTGAGATTTGTGAAAAATTAATTTAACCATGTAATGAAAATATGGTTTCCAAGAAACTTCTTTTTCATAGTTAAAAACTATATATAAACAATTCAGTTACGGATTTAGATTTAATAACCGACAGCACTAATTTGATCGAACGGTTTTAAGTGATATCTTATTTGTACAATTGATCATAAGTGATAAGAAGAACATTGATTCATGTTGTAAGATGCAAACGACGAATTAACATTATACTTTTGATAAAAACTATTGTCTCTTTTTTCTTCTTCTTTGTTCATTCCAATCTCGTTTTCTTGCTTCTTATTCCCCTCATAATAATGATCGGAATGCGATATGAGAAGAACTAAAGGCAACTTTGTGTTGGAAATATAATTAGTGTCCAATCCGGGTTAAAAAGGTCAAGCCTCGGTTCAACCGGGCTTGACCGAAGCACTCCGTCGGTCCGGTCCGGGGCTGAGTACACGTGTGACGTGACTAACACAAGCTGGTTTGGGCTGAAGGCTTGAAGCTCTCAGTTAACGGACACGAAAGCAGGAACAGGAGAAAGTCATTTGCTTCCATTTTCCTCTTCCTCCACATCTCGAAGATTGAAAATTCATTTTTTTTACACGCATACACACAGTGACAAGATACAGTCGGCCATGAATATCTAATTAGACCCATTTCATCATTGTTATTTATAGCGTCAGAGGGAGGAGGAATCGTGGTTCAGAACTGGACAGTTGCAGCTCCTGTAAGCTGTTTTTTTGCTAGAGAAAGATTATGGCATTTCACCTACGATTACGCCCTTCGTTGTTTTTGGGTTGTCCCAATTTCAATGTGAAGTCTCCAGTTTTGTGTAATAAATCCTACATTGGAACGAGGAAGCTTTCCGGGTCTAGGATGTTTGTTTGTTGTTCGACACCAAATGATGCTCATAAGGTAATTGCTATGTGCTGCCTGACAAATGTTTCTGTCCGATACTTTTGGGTTTTTAGTTGATTTTTCTTTTTCCCCGAAGCAAATGAATGTGAAGGTAATTTTAATGAATTGGGTTCGTTGTTTATGGTGATTTCTGCTTGCTAATAAAGGAATTAAGGACTGGTTTTTAAGGGTGTTGGATTGATTTCAAATTTATGTTTTTTGGACTATTTTCTATGTATTTAGTTGCACCCGTTGATGTATTGTGTTATTACATTGCTGAATTTTCCAACATCTTAATCCACTGGCGGGGCTTCATGAATGTCTTAGATTGTTAGTTTAATTCATTTTTTCGAGTGTCTCGATTTTTCCTTGTGTTTGGGGAGAGAGAGGTTTGCAGTTGCTACATGCTAATTGGTGTCTCCCTTGCTTTTGAGGTGAATGGTCACTTTCGAAAATTGAATGGTGACTATATTTTCTGCCATGCATCTTGATTTCACGAGATCGTTCTCTCTAGTAGATATTGTTATTAGATGGCCTTTGGTAACTGCCGCTCAGTAATTGTGCACGGAACACCTCTTAGTTAGATTTGAGAGTTTGTAAATTGGTCGAATTAGTTCAATCATATGCGGCACTTCACTGCAAAAAGCAATAATTTTGAAGTTGCTTGTGCTAGAGGATTCAAGGATAGACTAGCTTTTAGGTTGAGTTAAGAATGCTAATTGGAAACGCAAAATGTGTAAGTCAGTAATGAGTTGTGATTTGGATGAGTTTGTCGAAATGCCTTGAATCTTTTATATGTTGAAACAACCTTTTGTTGGTAGTTACATTGTTTCAATCAACCATACGTGATAATGTTTCTCATGTGCTGCTCTAAATTGTTGTAGTTAGTGGCAAGAGTTAAAGAGAAGCTTCAAAGCGAATATAACAATCTCCCAGCTGGAAAAAATGGAAGAGATGATGAAGAGCTAATTCTGTGGTTTTTGAGGGACCGGAAGTTCTCGGTTGATGATGCTGTATCCAAATTGACTAAAGCCATAGTATTTCTCTATCCTTTATGCTAGATACCCTGTAATTTCTGAAGTAACTTTTTGTTCTTTCTTTGATTATTTTGGGATGATTATCATTTTAGGTCAAAATTTAAAAAGATTTTCAGCCTGCAGAACTGATACTCTTGGTTCAAAGTGAAGTGTTTGACATCCTATTTCATTCTCTCAGCTTTGTTGTTATCTATTCTCGTCAATGAGATAGCAGATGCATGGGGATTAGTTTAAGTTTTTCCTGCGTGTTATGTTTGGGATTTGAGTTTATCAAGATTCAGTCTTTGTTATTAAAGAAATGATGACATTCTAATCATATGCTTATTCTGTTTTTGGTACTTATTCTGTTGCTTCCATCTGTGAAGAGATGGTATCACGCTTTCGGTGTATCAGAACTTTCAGAACAAGCTGTAAGGTCAGCAGCTGAAACTGGGAAAGCCTATGTGCATGACTATCTTGACACTTACGATAGACCAGTTCTAATTGTAGAAGTGTCCAAGCATTTACCTGGTGTAAGTCTCAAGCTTCAAACCTTTCTTCTTTTAAAATTACTAATCAAGGAAAAGACCAAGTTGAGTTCTATATTATTGTTGTCGACCAATTTTCTCAAGTTAATGAGTTCTTTAGTAAAGAACATACAGAGAGAGTAAGAGAGGGTAGAGGTATAGTTTCTATGATTATTAAACTGACAACATACTGCTGATACCTTAAGTACAAGATTCTAAAAACTGGCACATTGTTGTCATAGAAATTTAATTGAACAAATAGATTATCATATGTATATCAGTTAGATGATTTGTTTTAGATTTTTAACTGGAGAACTTATAAAGGGTGCATATTTTCTTCTGGATATTTTAATGGAAAGTGATGGGCATCAAAATTTGTAGACACATTAGAAAACCTCGCCATGTTAACTAGAGGGAATATATACAGATTTCCGTCTCTCACCCACTTTACCTGAAGATGCAGGAGTATGTGTATGTAGCACGCTGATTTCTACAGTTCTCTTTTGTCTTGCTTGAATGCCACCCTTCTTTTGGTGCAAATTTTCAGCACATTTACTTTTTTCTTTACCTGTGATCAACCTCATATTAAGTTATATAATAGAACTTTTGCCATACTTATTTTGTTTCAAAAAATGGTACTGCACATTTGATGGTGGTGGTTGTTTGATGTGCAATATATTTTTGCAGAAGCTAGATATTTCTGAAGATGAGAAGTTATGCGTATATCTTGTCGAGAAGGCTTTAAGTAAACTTCCAGATGGAAAGGAACAGATACTTGGAATAATTGATCTTCATGGATTTAGTACAGAGAATGCAGATCTCAAGTTTTTGTCATTCCTGGTAATATGAGAGACCCTGGCAAATAAGCATTGTTTAATTTCATGTTGTTTGCTCATAATGAAAGATAGTGTAGTATGATATGTACTCTGAATGTGGAACTCAGTTTTATACACCATGAAATCTTTGTAGTTAGCAATCTTCTCAACCTGTTTTGCAATTCTTTTCGCTTCCCTGGCCCTTGTCTCGTTTCCTAATTTTCACCAAATTCTTATCCAAAAGCTAAAGTTTTTTTTGATGCAGAATTATCAATCAAAATGCAATTTATCTTTTCATCACTTTTGTATTTAAAATCAATTTAAATTTTGATTCTCCATTGAATAGCAGTAACCATTATTTTTCACTCACATTCATATCCTATATCTTTGATGGAGACAAGTATGAAAATGGTGTTGACTTCTCACAGTTCGATGTATTCTACTATTACTATCCGAGGAGGCTAGGTGAAGTCCTTTTTGTGGATGCTCCTTTCATATTCAAGCCAATTTGGCAGCTAGTCAAGCCCATGCTGAGATCTTATGCATCACTGGTGAGAATTTCCTTTCCTTAATTTTTTAAGTTTTTAGTTTGGCTTTAACCGTTGCATTATTGAGATTTGAGCCGCGTAAATGTTTGAAATATCAAACTAGGCATCAAAGGTTCATTGTTTTGTCGAAGTCGTCACGTTGAGAATCTGCTTTCCTGAAGGATAGCTTTAGAGTTATCCATTTGTACTCTGAGATTATAAATTAGTTAAAAACCCCACATGGAAAATGAGACATTTCAAAATTCTTTGATCATTATGATGTGAGGACGTTGGTACCATGAATCATGTCTTTTTGTTAGCTTGATTAAGTTGCTTGCTGGGGCCATTAAGCTCGAACACAAGCTTAATATAATGGGAACATTAAGTTGAATAGCCAATTATATGTTTAGCAATTTGATTCCAGATTATGCGTGGTCCTGCTTTTGTTCTTCAATCAGGAAAACTGCCTCTAACAAATGAAGTGTTAATGACTGCGTATGACAGTGAAAAGATGGAAATGTTGGTCTTCAAAGAAAGACTGATTCATTTTTTTCAGTTATGCTTTTTGTATGACTTAAGCATCATAACTCATCAATGGACTTTTTCGTAGGTGAAGTTTTGCTCAGCCAAGACAGCCATAAACACGTATTTTACCCTTGAAACAGTTCCTCCCAGCCTGAGGAGATGAAGGAGTATGGTGTACAGCGACTGTTGTAGATGCTGAGCTCCTTAAAACTCTATCAGAAGGACATCAGATAGGTTTATAACAGAAGTCCTCAAAAGTAACTACAATCAATATTTAACTTACAAAGTGTACTGCATTTTATCAGCAGATCATGAAGATCCGACCTTTTTGTGGATCAACCTTTTTATGCAGAAAATCCACACCCCCATTTGCAGAAGTTGTAATGCAAAAGTGTTTTTATTCCTTCCGAGTTCACAACTGTTTGACCGAGATGTCAAGATTGTATTACATTACCAGCTTAACATGTAAAGGATGATCAGGTTGGTAAATTTGGGAACAGCCGTAACATATGAAGCAAGTGGAATAGATTCTCACCTCCATCGGAAGAAACCCAAGGACGAGGGTTCAGGATGTTAGAACTGGAGGCCTCCTGGTTCATGCTTGGTGTACTATTGTTCTGTGGTGAATTTCCGGCAGGTCTCCGGTTTGAGGAATTGCCGGTTGTCAGAGAGACTGATGAAGACTGGCTGCCGTTGTTGCTGATTCTTCATTGGTGACTTTGGATGCAATGGCTTAATTTCTGGAGCAAGGTGTGGCGCTTCTGGAGGAGGATTTCTACCTCCACCACCCTGCCAAACCTTTCTATCTTTATCAATACATTGGAAGAAGACACTGAATTCAGCCATAATGACGCTGGAAACAAGCGTTACACAGTTCTTATTTTATTAGTATAAGATAACGGTTTGTATAAATTTATTTTATTTTCTTTTTGGTCGAATTACAAGTTTCCAGTTTAAACTAAATCTTTTAATAAGAATAACAGAGTCCGTATCCAGTGCACCCAGGTATACCGTATATCCTCACCAAACACACGCATTATACGCGCTCAACATTTTTCACCTTTATATTAAATGCACAAACAAAATTGTTTTCATCCATTTTACTGTTTTCATCCTCACGCACAAACATATAGAATTGTTTGTTATCCATAATTTATTCACAAGTTGTAAATTAGTTATCCAGAAGGGGTAAACTGGTTATCCAGAAAGTGTAAACTGGTTATCCACAAGTTGTAAACTGGTTATCCAGAAGGCGTGAACTGGTTATCCACAAGTTGTAAACTGGTTATCCAGAAGTAAAGAAGCAAACGACATGTTAATTGGGGGGCGAAGCCTCCCATGATAAACTAAACGACTCCCGCGGCTACCGAAATCGCAGGTCACCAACCTGCTCCGGCTGCGCCGCCTCGCCGAACATGCCAATGTAGGTAAGGTAATCCCCTTTTCGTGTGTGTGTAAGGAGAGTGTGTGTGTGTAAGGAGAGTGTATTATTGCGTTAAGAGGGGACACAAATTACTTATATAAATCCCCCCGTGGTAAACTAAACGATCCGGCTGCGCCGGTGCCCCGCCGACAATCCCAGCCGCCACCTCACACACACACTTTCTTCACACACAGTTTTCTTCTTTCATTAACAGCAATATTATGTGATGGTTGTCCATGTTATAATTGCTGGTTATCCACCCATTTTATACTGGTTATCCAGAAGGTGTAAACTGGTTATTCAAACTTTGTTTGTGGTTATCTACCTATTTTATACTATCCACAGGGTGTAAACTAATTATCCCCCATTTCATACTGGTTATCCAGTATATATATGCCGTATTTAAAAAAAAAAGAAAAAGAAAGCTGAATTATCTAGCAAGCTCACGCTATTTAAAGAGAGTGAAGTACACGCACAAGGGGGTACACAGTGCCCTCAAGTATACCAGATAATTTGCCGAATAACAAAAGTAACAAACGATAAAAGTTCAAGATTATCACTGCATTAGGATTTTAGTGTACTGAAGACATGTAAGGTGCTTCTTAAAGACGCATAAACATAGAAGTTGCGAATCCAACAACCACGCACTTGCAAACAGGGAAGCAGCAGGAAATTGCCCGGAATAAGTAAATGAGAATATATGCCAAGGAGCACATAATTAAATAATTAATTATTTTTAAAGGTACTTGTCATCATTATATTAAGAGAAAAAAATACGTAAATTATTATCGCATTCAATTATACTAGATGCTTGGCCGGGCGGATGTCCAAGCGAGCTCCTAAATATATATATTGTCGTTAAATATTATATATGTTATGAATATGTATTTAGATAATCGCTCTGTACCTATGCTCGGGGATTGCCTGTGTTTTGGAGTAATATGACATAGAATTTTGTACCTGTAAACAACGACACTAATTGGTATAAAATAATCTTTGTTCTTAACCCTTTACATGTCCGAAAGCTAATAACAAATTGGAGCTATACTCAAAATATGGGGATATTAAATCATCTAGTTATCAATATTTAAGTAAAATGACTTTCTCAATTCCTAACTAACCTCCAGCTACTCTTCCAAGTCAAATCAAGACGAATAACCACATCTCAGAAGAAATTTGGGAAACAAATTTTCGTGGAGGTGTTAATTTATGCTTTTCTTTGTACATTTGGCAAAATAATTAGAAGTAGGGGATTACTGCATAAATAAATACACAAATCTTACTTGATAAATGAATGGGGATGATAATCAACAAATTGAAGTACAAACAGAGTCAGAGTCAACATTAGACCCATTGCTCCTCTACCGTTGAATCTTCTGACATAATCTCGATTTAAGATTGTTCACTGGATGCTCAACCTCAAGCTCCTTGGCACTTGACTTGCTTTTTTCATCTCTCATTTTATTCTATAATTAAACACCTACCTGATGCGATAATCTAGATTACAAATACATCTGTTCGAACCTATAGAAATTAATTTTGTTACAAAAAACAAAGGTATCAAGTTATGAGGAGATGGACTGTGCATAAGAAGCCATACAACAAACACAGAAAAAACATGACAGAGTGTAACTAAGCATAACAGGGTATAACTAAACATAGAACATGCAAAGCTAAGAGGAAAACTTGATTGAATTCTTGGAGTATACCCCTATTTCTTGCCAATTTGTGATTAACTGAAGTAGCAAAGGCAGCAAATGCTACACATTGGCTCATTGAATTATTTACATCCAATAGCTTTTTAAGCAAAGAGTGAATCTCCATTTTCATGAATTTTCACGACCTGCCAGTCCCTTTGTTGGTAAACCACCAATCTGCGCAGAAACTATTTCAACAGAAGATCATTACAATATGCTAGTTACCGATTTTAATAAAACGGATGAACTAAAAGCATGGATTGAAATTTAGGTTAACTCAATCGCAACACAAATCTAAGAAAATGAATAAAACTCCAGCAAATTCAATCAATATGGAAACTGTACCTCCTCCTCGGCTAACAATCCCTGACTGCTACAATTCGTACTTTGTTGTTACAGCCGCCGGTCGGACACATCTTGTTGCTACAAAATCTACTTGTTTTTCTGTTTTTTAAGCTCACGACATCATTAACTTGTCAACCGCTCCGTGTCCTCACTTCGACATTTTGGTTGTATCACCGTGAAACTTTAATGAAGGAAAATACTTTATCAGTGTATTTTATTTGTTGAAGATCACTGCATCGGCTCCTTTGTTCCTGGCTATTTTCAGCTTCAAGATCATCAACGGCTTCATCTGTTATATTTTTCATCACTTCCAAATTAGTCCCATTTCTGTTGCCAAAATGATACTGCAAAGGGAATTTTCAAGCAATTAAAAAGCCCAATAATAGAGCAAGTACAACACCTCAATAAGAAGTTTATTAAAGAGATATAAGATAATAATAAAAAAGCTTAGAGTTAATTTACCCAAAAAGATTAGAAACAATATTGTTTTACATTCAATATACGTAAATTTTCAGTAAAAGAAGAAATGAAATAGGAAAGTTTTACAAAAGAAAATAATATAGTACTAAAACCACATTTTCTAATGACACGTAAATATTCATTTATATAATAAGAAATTGTAACTCAAGGCTCAAATGAATAATAAGATTATGCATTTATGATCACAATCAAGACCCAAATTAAAACAAAAATAAAAGACCAAAGAATTTTAGTACGCTAAACTGATAATTAGAAAAACTAAATTTATTAAATGCTCAAAACAATTTGCCGGGTGAAGAAATTGATGTCAAATTCAAGTTAATTATACTATTTCTTTTCCTTGTATTTGCTTTGATGTAATAGAAAGAAGTATGTACTATTTTTCTTACATAAAAAATTGTCAAATTTAGAATGTTTTGTTTTAAAATTTTCCACAAAAAAATATATCTTAAAATATAAATTCGAACCACATGACATTATGATTTGTCGTGGCAATAATGTTTAAAATATTAATGAAATAGTTCTAAACATTTTGTGGTAGTTTGTCGAAGAAAATAAAATTAGATTAGTACTTGTTGATAAAAAATTAGTGCACTTGGCCTCGTTAATATTTCACACCCCCTAATCTAAATTCTTGGCTCCGCCGCTGATCACAATAAAACCAGAATGTTCATCATTTACTATTCTTGATTTCGAAATTAAAAATTATATTGAAAAAAGTTTACAATTGAGAAAAAAAAACACTAAACACACTAACCTACACAATCAAACACACACTACAATAACTTAATTTCTGTCTTCCTTTTGTTTATTGAATCTAGAAGGGAAAAAAAATATCAAGACAATTATTAGGATGTGGAGGTAAGGGTGCTGCAGCTAACTGAGTTGGAAGAATTCAGACAAGAAGCTTATGAGTCATCCAGAATCTACAAGGAGAAGTCAAAGGGATTTCATGATAAGAAGTTGATCAAGAAGTAGCTGGAGGTTGGACAGTTAGTCCTACTCTACAACTCTAGGCTACGGCTATTCCCTGGAAAACTGAAGTCAAGATGGGGAGGATCATTCAAGATCAACAAGATTTTGAGCCAAGGAGCTGTGAAGTTACTTGATTTGCAACATGAGAGCACATTTTTGGTGAATGGACAAAGGTTGAAGCCATATTTGGGAATGCAATCTGAAGGAGAACAGGATAATCATATCCTAGCACTCCATGATCTA